CAATATGCTAATTAAGAACATACACATTCAGCTTTTGCAAACAGGAATTTTATGATCAAAATCCCATTCTTTACCAGCAGCTTTGGGACACTGCTTGGTCATACAGTGGAGCTACATCCTAGCAGGAGGTTAGAGCATGTGGAGAGTTAAATGAATGCTTCCATTTTATTGCTCCCTTGTTCCTGTTTCTCAGCTGCCAAGAAGCCAGCCTTAGCTCATGCTAGCAATTCCTCTGGGGTCAAGAGAGAATGAAATCTGAAGGATTTCAGAAAACACAAAATGATTTCAAGATCAGGCCCAACACTTTCTTTTTCGTAAGGGAACCACAGAATTGAGGAGACTGCATCGTTGTTACTTCTGGTTAGTGTACTCATTTTCTTTTCACATTCTCACACAGAGCTGTGCATCAGCAATTCTAACCCTGCCTTAGATAACATCAGACAGAGGTGTATGGTCTACAAAAAACAACTGACACTTTAGAAGCTCTCATTTTCTTACACATCAGCACTATTGGTACAGCCAGCGATGTTTCACTGAGCTGAAACGATGAGACACTGAGGGACATTACGACATTACTGGTGTCTCCACCAAATTCTCTTTATCATAGTTTAAGTATATGGTAATATGCAAAAAATCAAGAGAGTTCCTTGAAACTTACATCAAGCAGACTAGCAGAAAAACTGAGTACTTTCTAATGGTGGAAACTGAATCTTTGCCCTAGGGAAGAAGAAATGTAATAAAGAACAATAGCAAAACTCATGTGATTAAGACTGCCTTTCTGTTAATGTAGGTTTTTCCACTGAGCTTATGCCTGAGCACAGCAGTGTGAAGACACTTAACATGGCCAAGGCAATGTGCTAGCCAATACACGATTCCACAGCTTACCTAATAAACGTATTACTTGTCCACAAACCCTCAATCGCTTGTGGATTTGAAAATACTTATTTAAACTTTTTTTGGAAATCTAAAACCAAAAATCCTATTTAATGAGAGCCTGACTGTGCAACATACCTAGCCTACCAAAACTAGTCAAGGTTAGTTTGGTCCCTGCGCTTTTAGCTGAGAAAATCTGCAGAGAATGTTTTCTTTCATCCTTACTGTTCTGCCTCTGAGCTTCATTTTAAGATTAATATCAGAGACCTTACACAGGGTACTACAAATAAATTAAAAGGTGGATGGAGGTTGTAGAGGTGATTTCTCAATCAGGTTTTTATACATGTAGCACCACTGGGCCCCAAATTTGCAAAACTACAAAGCATCCACTTAAACATATTCATGTAACAAAAGTGGGATTACGTTGCTTTCTGAAACTATAAATATAAATGAAAGTAAGTATCAAGTTACCTATTATTTCATAGCATTTTTAGTTGCAAAACATGAATACGTGCAAATTTACACTTCTGCCTACTCTTGTTAGAAACCTGTAAAAAGGAAATGGCTGTGGTGCTGATATTTGTTTATTTTTGTTTGCCTGATTGGTTTCTTTTAGTTCCAGGCTCAAAAGCAACAGTCTGTCTACATGTAACTACTCTCCTTTATAAGCCATGCCCTAAGCTTTGTGTGGACGTGGACTTGCACCAAGATTTTGCATTAGTTTTAAGCCTTAGACTTTGCCTCAGTATCCAGCAGCCTGTATGAAAATACAGCTACTCAAATATAACTGTCTGATTTCAAATTTAGCACCTTTTACATATATATATATAAGATACACAAAGTGAGCAAACTGCCACCACCCGAGAAAAGAAAACCTGCCTTGTGGGAAGGCATTTTCTATTTTTCTCTTGATTATACTAACTTAATGAAACAAATCTGTTCTCCTCCCACCCAGCTTCTGCTCTTATACTGAATTTCTGAGCACGTTATTCCTCTTTGCTGCTATATTCCCTATTAACCTCACAGTTCTTGGCCTGGTTACACACCTACCTTCAGCTTCAGCTGCTGGATTTCTTTCCTTTGCTCCTGTCTTTCCAGATGTCCACTTTTCAGTTCCTACACTTGTCAGTTCCTATGTAAGCACAGTTACACTATACTTACTAATATAATAAACGTATAGAAAATGCAGCTTATATATTATTAGGCATAAAGGTTTGTCTTAAAACGTAAAGCAGTACTCAAAACCTCAAACTGCTCAAATTACATGAATAAACAGAAAGCATTCTTGAAACTATTTTAAATTACATATATTAAGAGGGAAAAAAACCACTTGCTTTTACAATATTAGTGGACTACCAGCATAGACTTCCCATGCCAAGTCACAAGATTATAAAGAGTTCTCTCAAGTGTGTTTTAAACCACTCAGAGTGCATCTGAAAGGAGAAACCATAAAACCATTCCCATAAATAACCCCTTGTTCTCTAAGATAGCCAGATCGTTTTACAGCAGCATTGATGACATGGGAAGGGGAGGAGGGGAAATACACAATGTGTTCTGCTCCTAAAAAGGAAATATTAATTTCAGTGCACATTTTTGGAGTGCCATTAGGATGACACACATAAAGTCTCACCCTTACATTTTCCCTGCTCCCAAGATAATATTTTCCTGTTTTTTCTTTTATGATAGAGGTTCCAGATGGGTTTCCAAGGGAGAAGCTGAACATTAAAAGGGTCGTGATAAACCTTCAAAGACCATAAGTTTAGCCAAAAAAAATTGTACCAGAATGCTCCAGGCAGCCACTGCTTTAATCCTACATTAATTAAAGCTGTACTACCTTGGCACAGGTACTATAATGAGCAGTCCCATTCTCCCCAGACATTTTGTGACTTTTTCCCATAGGCTTTGTTGCTGTCACTTCCCACACTGACAGTGATTTCCTTCAGCAAGACAGTTTTAAGCAACACCATTCCCTAATAATATATGCACACTCACACTACTAGCTTTCAAAAACTGTGCCCACCCCTATCAGAGTAAAATGGCTGTGCAGCTACAGTGCAAGTGCCAGTGGCTACACTCAGAAGCATCAGGAAGGTTCCAGAAACAGCCTTTGGTCCCATTGCTCTGCACTCCCACACCAGATACAGCTACTATGACCAAGAAACATCACTAATGTATAGGCAAATAAAAGAGCAGAATTTGATTAATTGTGCATTTTGTTAGGTCTGGCTGTGTTGGGGGATTACTGCAGTGTTGTAACACAGCAACCAGCTCTCTTTGCAGCCATTACACCTCTCAAAGTCAAACTCGTACAGTTCCCAGTGTGACCACCTTACTCTTTCTTCTCTTTCACAGAGTGAAAGGAAAACCCTGTAGCTTTACAGTGAACTGTGTAAGACTAACACAGTGCATCATTAGTGCACATCAACTGTTGTGGCCAAGAGGTTGAGGGAGGTGATTCTCCCCCTCTAACTGCCTGGTGAGGTCACATTTGGAGTACTGTGTCCAGTTCTGGGATCCCTGGTTAAAAAAAAAACCAGGCATCTCCTAGAGAGAGACCAGTGCAAGGCCATAGAGATGATGAGGGCCTGGAGCATCTTTTGGACAAGGAAAGGCTGAGAGACCTGGGGCTGTTCAGCCTGGAGGAGACTGAGAGGAGATCTTATCAATGCTAATGAATATCTAATGGGCAAAAGTCAAGTGGATGAGGCCAGCAAAAGAAAAAGGGGCAGTGGACACCAACTGGATCATGGGAAGTTCCATGTGTTGCAAGCCGAAATGGCTTGCAGTTTGTTGTATCGATCTCAGTCCCTCCAAATTAAGACTCAGAAAATAGTCAAGGTGTTAATCAAGCACAAGTGTGCCTTTATTTATTAAAAGATGAGAGAGCAAGAGAGGAAAAGGAGACAGAGAAGGGGAAAGAAAAGTAAGTCACTGCTGTGAATCTCATGATGTTCAAGCTCAGAGAGGGTAGATTTAGGTTAGATATAAGGAAAAAATCTTTTACAGTGAGGGTATTGAGGCAATGGAACAGGTTGCCTAGGGATATGATTGATGCCCCATCCCTGGAGTGTCTTTTTTGTGACTTAGCATTTCTGCTACACCCCTCAGGAGTGAGGCTGGATAAGGCCCTGGGCAACCTGGTCTAGCTGTGGTGTCCCTGTTAATTGCAGGGGAGTTGTACAATATGGCCTTAATTCTGTGATTCTATATTCTGAGGGTCTGTCCTTCTGCTTCTGGGGTGGCTGAGGATGTAGAGGAGCAAGCGCCACTGGCTGACAAAAGCATATGCCTTTTATGCTGTATGATGGTCCCCTCTACTTGAACCAGGAGTTGTTGCCAGGCATAGGATGTCCAGTATCAAACACTGCATGCATGCTGCACCAGCTGTGCTTCTCCCTTCACATGGTGGTCATGGAGGGTTGTGGTTGTGTGAGGGACCTAAGATCACCTTAAGCAAGACCACTAATTCCTGACTTGCGCTTGCACACAGCGTAGGGTTGCTCAGTACCCTTCACAAAAGTGTTACAGTACAGGTCTTGTTCTGGGGCCTTCACAACACTGTTACAGTTCTGTAACAAAAATTCACAATGTTACTGTTCCATATGGAGTTGTCAGAGTCCAAACACAGGAAGGAAGGATGTTTTTAGTGTGAGAATGGTGCAGTGCTGGAACAGGTTGCCCAGAAAGGCTGCAGACTCTCCTCTGAAGATACTCTAGACGCCTCCGTGTGTGACCTGCTGTGGGGAGCTGCTGCAGCAGGGGGTTGGACCAGACGATCCCTAGAGGTCCTTTCCACCCCCTACAGTTCTGTATAAAACCAGCAGTGTGAGGCAAACTGCTGGTTTATTGAGCTCATCTGCAACGACAGTAGTTACTTCAAGTACTTGGTGCAAAGAACACGCCAGATCCAGATGCTTTTATCCTGCTCAATTCTCGCTGACAGGGTCACCTGTGCCCTCAGCCACCCCTCGCAGCGGGTCTCCCGCAGGCAGCGAGCCCCGCTCCACCTTGTCCGCTCCCCCTGACCCTACAGGGCCCCGGGGACCCACGGCAGTCCCCGCCCTCCTCAAGCGAGAGCGGAAGTGCCGTCAGAGGAAGGCCAGCCGCCCGCCCTCAGCGGAGGAAGGACGGGCTGTAAGATGGCGGCGGCGGAGGAGCGGCTCCTGTCGGAGGGGGAAGGCGGCGCCCCGGGTTCGGCGCGGCTCTCCCCGCCCCCGCTCTCGCAGTCTCCCGAAGCCCCGGCGCCCTTGGAGCAGCCGCCTCAGAGCAACACGCTGATGGGGCTGCCCATCGTGGCCATCGAGAGCATCCTCAGCTTCCTGTCCTACGACGAGACGAGCCAGCTCCGCCTGGTAGGGGCTGGGGAGGGGAGGGAAGGCGGGCGAGGGGCCGTGCCGCGGCCGCCCCGGGAGCCGCCGGAGCGGGAGCAGCCGGGGAGGAGGCGGGCAGCCGGTTGGGCAGGGCTGAAGCTTCCCCATTCTGCCCGCCCCGCGCCTCCCGTACGGGCGTGCAGGTGTGAGCCGTGCCCGCGTTCCTAGCGGGACCCTGCCGCCTCTTCATGCCTTTGATCCCATTCCGAGCCCTGTAAAGCAGCGCGGGGTGCCGGAGACGTAAATCCCCGGGTGTAGGAGGTGGCGAGATCGCTGCTCCGAGGACCCTACCCGGTGTCTAGAAAGAAAAGTGGGGCAGGAAAGGAAGACTTAAAGCCGTGTCTGCCCGAGAGTCCGCCCGCTGCTCCCAGCCGTGCTCACGGATCTAATAAAAGATACGAGCTCCACCTGCAAACTTCGTTGTGCCCAAAAAAGCTCGGAGGTCAGCGAGGAGATCAGTATTAGTCTTCAACTGCCTCAGGAGCCTCGTGTAAACTGTGCCATAATATGACTGGCTGTGATCTTGCTCAATTTTGTATGAGATCATGTATGGAATAATAGTGAGGGAATTAATACGCAGCTTATGTAACCCTCTGTCAACTTGCCTGTGCTGTTTCTAGTTTAAGAACTCATTAGCTTAAACCAGATAGTATTACATATGTATTTCTGCAGAGAATTGGACCGCATTTGTCCCAGATCAGCAACCTGATTCTAAACTGAAAGCTCTTTAAGCAGAAGCTCTGGTTTTATTCATACTGCACCAAACACACAGTACAGTCTTTAACTCAGAGGGCGGTGAGGCCCTGGCACAGCTGCCCATAGAGCTGTGGTGCCCCATCGCTGGAGGTGCTCCAGGCCAGGTAGGATGGGGCCCTGGGCAGTTGAGTTGGGGGGGCAGCCCTGCCCATGGCTGGGGGTTGGGACTGGGTGGGCTTCAGAGTCCCCTCCAACCCAGACCATTCTATGATATGGTACTTAATATTTCTAGCATGCTGTCAGTCCTATAATCTCCAAAGATTTGCCTCTTCTGTGAGAGTAGATAGTGGATGTGTGGGGGAAAAAAATAGCATGACTTTTATGGATGGCAGCCTCTACAGTTTGGATAAAGGGAAGTACATGTACTGTGTTTGGGTGTGCTTACTATCATATATTCTTTATTGCTGCACTAGGCACTGCTCTTTGCTTCAGTTTTCCTGTTGCATTTTATAAATGGTAGCTGTGGGAACTGTCACTAAGCAGTAGGAGGGTTTTTTCTTCCTCTAAGGCTGTTAGTGTTTATAAACAATGCTTTGTCAGCAGTGAAGTTCAGAATGGGAAAGGTGGTATCAGGACTTAAATAACTGCTTAATTCTCCATGTTTCTTAAGAAGTGAAAACACCCCTCTTATGTAGCACAAGTCCATTTTTTCAAGAAGACTGTTGCTTTGAGCCATTTCAAGAACAGCAAAAACAAAGTGGATAAATATCAGTAGAGATGCACATACAAGGAATAAAACTAGATGTAGATGAGGGAAACTACTCATAGAATCATGAAGGCAGGAAAAGACGCTTCAGATCATCTTATCTAACCGTTGACCCATCACCACCCTGTTTGCAAATGCCACATCTACATGTTTCTTGAGCACCTCCAGGGACACTGACTCCAACACCTCCATGGACAGCCTGTGCTAATGCTTAACCATACTTTCAGAGAACTTTTTCCTAATATTCAACCTGAACCTCCCCTGGTGCTCTACACCCTTCACTGGCTTTGTTGCCCCAGGGGTCCCCTTGGATGATGCCAGTGGGACAGCATGGCATATGGGCACTGGGGAAATTGATCTTTCCCTATTTTTAATTTTTGAGTAGCTGACAGCCAAAAACCTTAATTTTCATCGAATTCCTCATGGTACCCTTAAGCACACAAGGTGAGAAAATACACGAAAAGCACACTTGTCTTGTTTAACGAGCACTAACGTCAAGAATCACTGCCCTTCTGGTCTGGCCTAATCAAAACCACATATACTTGATCAGCTTGATCTTTTCAATTGCCATGCAGAACTAAAGGTGTTATTTTGGCGGTTCACTGGAGGCTAAACAGAGGTGAGGAAACTGGACATAACTCCAGACAATACTGATGGAGAATTTGGTAGCATTTCAAAATAACATTATTTAGGCATGAGTTCATAATGGAAATTCATCATTGTCAGGTTTTTAAGGGCAGATAACTTTAAGATACACTTGTGCATTTGGGCATTGCACAAACAGCAAACTTTTCTTTGAGAACTTACTTGAGTTGCTTCTCATAATGCATTTCATAATGAGTAGGATTCTGCTAAGGATATGTTATGGGACCAAATTAATTGAATGGCAGGGATTAAATTCCTTAGGTCTCATGCTCATTAAAAGTATGCTCCTAAACAGCCTCATTATCCCATGGAATGCCACATTCTTAGGGTTAAAGCACCTTGGGGAAGGCAAGACATCAATTGGCCTAAACAAATCTTACATACGCTGACAAAAAGTGTGGAGCCCCTAAACTGATAGCTTTGAGTGCTGTAGCAGGGGAAGGGAACACTTTAAGTAGCCTTACATTGTGAATAGGAAAATGGCAAAGCAGGAATGAAAACCTAGAGCCATTTTTCTGGAACAAGTCATTTCACTTAATTATGCCTTATTTGTATGATGCCATATTCACTTAAGAGGAGCCTGCACTTTCCTGAATAAAATAGAGTAAAATTGAGTCAGTACTTCCTTCTGAAATCACTTTGAATTCTACTGGTAAATGTATATGTGTACTGTCTATTAAATGTGGTAACATCCTTGTCTGGAAGAAACAAGTCTTCTTTTTGAGATGCAATTATGTGACATTTGGAATGCTGAGTAGTGCTCCTCCTAATGAAGGGTGGTTAGTTTTGAGCATGGCTGCTACATAACAGTTTACAATAGCGGTGTCACAGTCACGGAGCTTTGGTCAGTTGTCCTAAAACAGTAGGATGGGCTTGTGCCCCTCTAAGTTCTCTTTCCAGATGCAGTCAGCCAAGAGGATGAGAGCTGGACACTTCTGAAGTGGGGTAATAATGATGTCCTTAGTCTCAGCTTGGAAATACATTTCCATTCGGGCTACTGCCACATGACTGCAAACAAACAGTCCCACAGTGAAAAGCAAACAATTAATAAATGCCTTCCATGAACACTGAAGATAAGGTTACCTTGGATTGAGGCACATATCAGAAGTGTCTTAGATTCTGCAGCAACTTTGCACTAGTGTTCTGCAGAGCGCAAATAAGGACTGCTCAGCTTTAATCTTCCCACAGTTTCAATAAATCTGTATTTACAGGCATTTCTATTTTAAGGCTTGCTGAAGTCATCAGCATTTTGTCACTTATTCTTTAACCTATAAAGGCGTTATGAAATACAGTGTCTGTGTAGCCTCTATTGATTTTAAAAAAGAACATACCATGAATCTGAACACTTGGAATGCATTTTTACTTCCAGTTTTGATACTGGTCATCTGTTAGTGAAGTTGGGAAGAAATAACACGTGCTTGGAGGAAGGGAAGCTGTCGGTCCTCTAGCAGATTGAGTCGCTTTGTTTGTAACAAAGTGGAAAATGAGCTCTTCTGTCAGATCTGTTACTGTATACATGTCACCATGCTAAGCAGAGCCACCTTTTACATTTCATGTGGTCTTGGAACAGCTTTCTAACACTGAAATTTGAACACAGTGTTCTACTTGGGCTGGCATTTGAAGGAATGTGGGCTGATGTAGCTTTATGGCTAGAGTAAGGAAATATCCACAAAACTCGGCAAATATGAGCAAGTTTGAACTTCTGGCTTTCTTACAGTCCATTGAGATAGGAAATATCAGAAATTGTCTTGGACCAATATGAGCACTGAAAATGCTGATAATGCTGCTTTAGGTATGACTGCTGACAAAGCAGTCTAAGACAGGCATTCTTGTAACTTCAAGTGTCGTATTTTTAAATGGCGTCACAGGGAATCAGTTGAGATCGAAGAGGTGACATTAAATAAGCTGCAGACAGTCATTATTGGTTTCTGATGGTATCAGTTTAGTGTTTGGGTTCTAGACTGCTTGTTGTCACAAACATGGGCAAATTAGTAAGATTAGAAAATCTTATGTTTAAAAATCCAGCACAGTTCTTAGCTGTTACAGCCTGCTGCCTTTTGGATATGGGAGGTATTTTCTGCCACCAGATGTCAGTATAAACATGATGAAAATTTCTCTTTGTGCTTCTCCGCTGTTTGTCCCTAACAATGTATCTAGGATTTTGGAGTTTTTTGCTTGCTTGTTTTTCTCCTGCTGAATAACTGTATTGTTAACACAGCCCTTGTGCAAGTGTGACTTTCTGTTTCAGGTTTTGGTAGCATTAGAGCAGGTATTAATGTCATTACTACCTACCGCTGTGAAAGAAAACAGCTGTTGGTATCCAACATAGCCAGCAAAGGAATCTGTTAAACAGAGAAGACTTCTATGTGAAAAGGAGTCTTGCTTCTTGTGTGCTGCAGTGCATAATTCTTTCGTCTGTCTTCCAAAAGATGAACTATAAGCATTGAAGGAAAAACATCATTTCTTGTTTGTAAGGCATCTTTCTGAGATAATACTGACTTCATAGAATCATAGAACACCAAGGTTGGAAAAGACCTCCAAGACCATCTACCAGAGTGACTCTGAGTGACAAGAGGGCTTTTCAACTTCCATTATCATTAGAAGGAAATTATGTCTGCTTATGCATGAGTGGAATTCAGCCTACTGTCTCTTGTTATGCAGAATCAGGAGACTTGCTTGTGAACTGTGTGGAATGTAGCACTCCTTCATGATCAGTATTAGAGATGGCAGTGCCTTAAGTTGTACTGCAGTTTCTGTGTCTTGAAATTCAAGAAAAACTGCTAAGGGAATCTTGTGCTACTCAGCAAGTATGTGTAAGATATTAAATAGTAAAAGTGTCTTGTGACATTATTTGATACTTAAAAGATTTGTTTTGTTTTACTTAAATACAGGTTTGTAAACGAATGGACTTGGTTTGTCAACGAATGTTAAATCAGGGATTTCTAAAAGTGGAAAGATACCACAATTTGTGTCAAAAGCAAGTTAAAGCTCAGCTTCCAAGGTATGTACCAGCTAAAATTGTTGAACTTCAATGTGCTAGATTCTTTTTAGCATTATACTAAAAGGGAGATTCTTGCTGGCTAATTTGGTTACATATCTTGAGAATTTGAATCTCTTTTGTTTTCTGTTTTTCCCCCCGAAAGCATTATAACCTAAGATCTAATTACAAGATAATGGTGTGGATGAATGTACCTTGCATTATACTATACTAGGAGCTGGAATATTGGAAATTGTCTCTGGTGTTCTAAACAGAGTAAAGAAGAGTCTTGTGTTTTTCAGCCTTTCTGGCAAATCCAGAAGGGATGCTTAGAATGAATAAATGCTATTCCTCTTCAAGACAAACAGATGATTTGTCTATGGCTCTGCTTAAAAGGCAAGGTTCTTCAGTGCCAGGGATTAAATTAGGAAAGGGAGGAGACTGTGAGCTCTCATTACTGGGAGCTTAAGGTTCTCTTAAAAGCAATATTTTTTCTCCTCTTTCCAGTGTATATGTGCAATTGCTGCTGCCCTATCCTATCAGATTTCTCAGTCAAAGTGAAGAAACTAAATGCTACTTACTGCTGAGATTATTTGCCAAAAGCTTGTACCTCAGCTTGAGCTTTGTAGCAAGCAGTAATGCTGTATTAAATCTGTGTGTTGCATTGAAATATTAAATGCAGGAATATGGGAGGATAAAAATAACCACCCTGACTCATTGTCTGCTGCTAGTTAGTACTGAAAGCCTGCTTTTAGCATCCCAAATGACATACAGAGTTTATGGTAGCAGAAGATGTAATTACTTAGAGAAAAAAAAAATTGTCTTCAGAAAGTGTGCAATGCTGTTATGAGCTGATATCTAATCTCTGCCGTGTTTTGTCCGTAGACAGAACAAATGTAGCGGTTATGTTTTCAAACCTCTAAATGGTTTTAAGGATTAAATTGAGTGACAGTTAAAGTTTTATTTTGTGAACTCCTTGTTGAATTACTGTATGTAAATCACTTAATGGTCTGTCTTCTAGACGAGAATCAGAAAGAAGAAACCATTCGTTAGCTCGTCATGCAGACATCCTTGCTGCTGTAGAAACGAGACTCTCTTTGTTAAATATGACTTTCATGAAGTATGTGGATTCCAATCTCTGTTGCTTCATACCTGGAAAGGTAAAATGTAGTCTAATTTATGTGAATGTGTATGTTTTTAAAAAAAAATGATTGTGTAACTTCAAGTAAATTTGTCCCAGCTGCTCCAGATTATGTAATGTATATGCTACTGAAACTGATTGAGATACTTAGAACACACAAGTTAATGCTCCTCTGTAACAGGCAGTGTGAAATGAATGAACCAGACTGTATCTAAATACCATTTAAAACTTAATATCTACTTTCCCTCAGTATTTTTACAAGGATTTTTATAACACGGGACATGTAGGGTTTAACTCTGAATTGTAACTGTACAAAATCGCTGGACTCCAGGTCATCAGAAGATACAGCAGAAGACCAAGTATTTTTTCATATGGGTTTGAATACTTCAAGTTAATTGAAGTGAGATGTATATAGTATGTGGAAGTACCTTACAGTGTTGCTGTGGACGAGGTGTTTCTGTAAATTAGGTGGGTAAACTTTAAATGTATGTAAACTTTGTTCAGTATTATTACTACTAAACAGTTCTGATATTTCAGACTACTACCCCAGCATAGAGTATAAATTAATCAAGTGATAGGATTGTTTTATAAGCTGTAAAAACAGAGGAATAGAGGGGAATTGACAAGATCATTGTCTGAGGAAGAAACTCAAAAAAAGCTTGGATTGAAACAAAATCTGTGTCCATTAGCTTAACGTTCTGCTATTCATGGGCTGAACTGGGTTGCTCTGGGATGAATGCAGAAGTTAGCTGTTGGATTGAGATGAAGCATGGCAGGCGTTTCTGCACTCAGTACAGCAGGATAGGCTATCAGCATGAAACAGTTTTTGTCTTGAAGAGGTAACTTGATTTCCATGCATTTTTATTGCCTTGATACTAAGTTAATCTAAATTACTATAGTTTAATACATTTAGGTTTATTAAGTTTATATTACTTTTATATCTATAATCTAATTTAAAATACAGTGTAATATAACAAAGTCAAATAAATGTAAGGCTGTGATATTCATGTACTGAATAGAATACCTAAAAGAAATGTTGCCTTACTTTTCCTGAGGGGTAGGTGGAAAGGCAATGCTGAAGCTAGACCTGGGGTGTGTAGGAGTTGTGCAAACAAGTTTGGCAGCCATTTTCCTTCTGGGCACTGGGTCATAAAGACATTATTTGTATTCCTATGTAACAGCCAAAAGAGATCTTTTTAACTGTTTACTTGGTATACGAGCTCGATACCGCTGCTGCTCTTTCACCACAGTTATCAGTTCACCAGGAAGTCAGATTTTGGTCAAGCCTATTCAAGGTTCAGCATGTGATTTTCCCCCACCTGCCATGTTTGAATGAAGCTGCTGCAGAACTTTCAGGAAATGAATGTGTTAGAACACGTGAATCCTGGTTTGAGGTTCAGCGTATTGTGTTAAGGGTTCTTCACACTTCATAGTGAAGTGCCACTGCAAGATTTTATGTTGAGGATAGCAAAAAAATGCTTTGTGGATGTTGTTACTGACGGGATATAATGTGAATAAAATTAGAGAAAGAAGCCTTTGGGAGCTTCTTTCTCTTGTGAGATGGGATGCTCTGTTGGTTCTAGGCTCTTAAGGCCCACATCCTTCAGTAAAGTCTTAAGCCATTCTTAATCATGTGCAAAATTCCTGGCTTGGTAGTTTCTGTAGTAAGAAACCAGCACTGTATCTTGGCCTGCACAGACTGTAATTCATAGATTAGTGAGGCACCTTTCATCTCTGTAGTTCTGCTAAACAAAAAGCTGCTTTTCAAGCCTCTTTAAGAGGGTGCTTATGCTCTCTGCCAGTCCTGGATTGGTATTTCACAAAGTAATACATTTTGGGTGTAATCCAAATTTGCAATATTTTGAGTAGGAGCAAGCGAATTCATGTAAATATTTACAGCTCTTCAGACTGACATAACAGTAATTCTTGTTATTCCATTCCTGTGTTGTGTACATCTCATGACTGGCTGTGGGAATGACTGCTTACTGAACAGTTTCCATCTTGGTTCTCCAAAAAGAAACGATGATGCTTTACTGAGCATGTAGAATGCCAGTGTGGATGCAGTAAAACAATTTCACATGTGTTAATTCCTGAGTTTCAATAGAACTGTGATCCATCAAGTGAATGGTTTTGTCTGGTATATCACAAACGATACTTCATTTACAAACACCAATAAAGAACTAACACAGAGTCATGTGCAGGAGTAGTAGTTCTGTAGTGAAAGTCTCTGATGTGCCAACGCTTTTAGAATGATCTGAGATAATCTTGTCTTTATCAGAAAAATCCTAATTCTTCTTAAATGTTTTAGGTAATAGATGAAATTTACCGTGTGCTAAGGTATGTAAACTCTACAAGAGCTCCTCAGAGAGCTCATGAAGTTCTTCAAGAACTAAGGGACATTTCTTCCATGGCTATGGAATATTTTGATGAGAAGATTGTTCCAATACTGAAAAGGAAGCTTCCTGGGTCAGATGTATCAGGACGTCTGATAGGAGCTGCCCCAGGTATTAATTCCAATGTATAGCTAAGTGGGTTTTTTTGTTGCTTTTTTTTTATTATTTTATTTATTAAAACTCAGAGCACTATCTTTTTAAAGCTCCCTCCCTTCAATAAGTGAGCTTTATCACATAGGAATTAACGATACTTGTTTCTTAAGAATGCCAGCCATGAAATTCATTCGCTTTGTAATTTAAGGAGGCTTTGTATTGGCAAAAGAACGGTCACTTGAATGTATGTTACAATTATGCATAGTGTGTATTCATTAAACAAATGCTTTTGTGCCACCAATGAATGAGACTTTATCGTTGCACTTGGTTGAAATTTGGCACATGAGATGACAACTCAAGACGCCTTTTATATTTAGTAGGGATCAGCAAATGAATTGGCCTAAGCTGCTGTAGTACATAGAGAGTTAGAACACACAAGTTTGTGCTTTCTTTGAATTCCCAAAGCAACAAGGTATATGTTAACAATCAAAATGCTTGTGGGTAACACTGAAAAGGCAGCTAAAATAATAGTCTGTAAATAAACAAACTGGTCCTTTGTAAACCTCTCATGCTTTCCATAATTGATGTGAACCGAAGTGCTAGGGTAGTTGCCTCATAGAATGGCCAGAAGCAAAAAGTTAGTAGAACTGTAGTGTTTTCCCCGTCCTGAACTTCTTTCCACACACCATTGGAGAATTGGATTGCAGAATATGCTCTTTGAAAGGATAACTCAAAAAAAATAAATTACAGCTTAACCAAAAATGATAGGTTGAACTGTAGGAACTGCTTGTGGTTTGCTGCATGTCTCGTCCATCCCTTTAGCCATAAGGCTGTATTCCACCTCTTAATTATATCTAGATAATTATACCTCAATTCCAATGAGTCTGTCAGCTAAGGAAGCGTTGCCCAAAACCATAGTTGATGTCAATCTGCTCACCAAATCCAAGGCTTAATGTGATGTGAAAGTACCTGTCCTGTGTTGAGAGAATAGCATATGTAATGGTAACCCTTTAGTGTCAAATAAGTGGATTTTAAAGAAAAAAAAGAAGAGGATGACTGTTCAAGGCTGTTCCAGATTGTTCTGTCTTTTTTACTTGCACTGCATTGCTAGAAGAGTAAAACAGTAGAAAAAGTGATGGATACCTTTTTATGTTAGAAGTGAAAGAAATTATACAGTAGCTGTTAGTCTCCTTGATTTGCAGGAATTTTAATAAAAACAACATTCCCAAGCTCAAACTCCAGTATGATTTTAGGACTTAGGAAGAATGAGTATACATCATCATGGAAAATAAATCCCCTTCTTCTAAAAAGTAAGTTAAACTGAGATATCTTGTTAAGCCCTGAATAAGAAACAATTAGAATTGTAGCTATCTACAACTATGACAGCAGAATAAGAGTGCCCTACTGAAATACATTTCACATAGATATTGTATAATACGTCTAATTTATAGCTGTACTGCAGGTTTTTGACTTAACATGTGTCACTAACTCTAGCTGACCACATGTTCTCTCTGTAATTGTTCATCTGGCTGAAGGTGGGGGGGGCTTATATATGGAAAATGAAGAATGAGCTGTTTTCCATGTTACTGGAAATCCAAGTATTTAAAATTGAACTAGCTGTGACCTGAAATGCCACGTGCTCTTGTTAGATACTTAAAATAACAGTAAGTCTGTTTCCATGTTCACCCAGCCAGTATTCAGATTTGTGCTTGGGGGTGATGTAGGGGTAAGCAAAGTAGGAGAGGTGGGACACGATTTCTGCTTTTGTCTAAACAGTGTGGAGTACTAACCAGAATTTCCTCTGAAGTTCCAGGGCCTTCTGCAGCACTAACAACAATGCAGCTGTTCTCCAAGCAGAATCCTTCAAGACAGGAAGTCACCAAACTCCAGCAGCAAGTAAAAGCAAACGGTGCAGGTGTGACAGTGCTAAAGCGAGAAATCTCAGAGCTTCGCACCAAAGTGCAAGAGCAACAGAAACAACTCCAAGATCAAGATCAGAAACTGCTAGAGCAAACCCAAATCATAGGTGAACAGAACGCCCGATTGGCTGAGCTCGAACGCAAGCTGCGAGAGGTGATGGAGAGCGCAGTAGGAAGTTCTTCAGGTTCTGGTTCAAATGAACAATCTCCTAGAAAACGGAGGAAGGCGGTTGAATCCACAGACTGTCCTAGGAAATCTAAACGCCTTCGAAACAGAAAATAACTTGGGGAGTCACTGACGCCTTCAGGAAGATACACTGCTTTTAGTAGCCCAGGCAGGTCTGCTCGTTTGGATACTGTGATTAGCTTCATGGTGTCACGTAGGCTGCTGGCTCTTCAACGCACCACTTAGACTTGAACGTGAATTTTCTTTCATTGAGACTTTTCCCCTGCTTTCTGGATGGGTGGGCCTAAATCACAGGATCTCTAAGATTTGCAATAGATACATACTAACCAGACCTGCTCTGTTACATTTTGAAGGGTTAACCTTTTTTTTTTTTTTTTTTTTCTCTCCGTGCAAACGTGTTGAAAGTAAACTTATTTGTGTTTATGCGTATGTTCACATAAAATCTTAAATAAATTCAGTCTTAACTGACTAAAAAGTTGAGCTTAAAAGCAGATGTCCTGTTCACTTGAAGAAAAGAAACGCTTTTAAAATCATGTTTTAGAGAACTTGACTTTTTTGTTACAAGTGACCTTGTCTGGAATGTCTGAAAAGCAGCGAATAGTTTTTTGGGATCTCTGTAACAAGTAAAACAGACTTCTTAAGTTACGCTATTGCCTATATATTTTTGTAAACTTATAAGGAAAGGCCTTCTATCCAATCTTCACATGCACACGCCCTAGTTTTAGGTCTTGGCAGCCATATTCTACATTTCCATGCATAGATGCATGTAGAGCTTAGCCTGCTAAAAGCACTTGTCTGAAGTTGTCCTTCTCTCTGAGTACAGGGCCCTGTAGAACAATTCCTTCATTCCTCAGCCACAGCTCCACACCTGCATTCAGCACAACTGCTTTCTTACAGGAGGGTGGTCTTGCAGAGCTAGCAGCAGGAGCATTGGGAGCCAGCTATGTGCAGGCTACCTGCTGCTTTCACTGCCTGCAACTTGCAGGGATTGTTGGCCAAAGCAGGAGAATTGAGAAGCCACCTATGCATCACTTGATACATAGGCAAACATAAGAATCAGACAAACTGTCTCTCTGGTAACTAAACTCAGGGGGACACCATTTGAATGAAATGCTGTATTACAGAAAAATTTAAGCTATTTTGTGTGTATGTGTTGGGAGTGGAGTGGAGATTTCTCTGTAATACTGAGGCCAACATTCCAGCCTTCTTTGTCCTGACAGGTAAATCGCTTCAGACAAAGCTTTAATTTCTTTTGCACTTCTGTTTTGAGCTTGTCACTGGGATAGCATGTCTCGCACCATTCAATCTCCCTGCTCACTTTAACAACCTCGGGGTTGTATACAGTGATTTTCTTTTCTTACCTGTATATTTTTGGAACCTTATACAAGTACTATTGTCCTTAGTTTTGTTTTAATGTACTAAACTATGTGGCTTTATCATTTGATTTAAGTTTTAGGGTTTTTTTCTTGTTTGTTTGTTTTTTCTGCTTTCGGCTTAGGTGGTGGCCAATTCAACTTGGCATGGCACTGAAAGTGCAAATGCTGCTTTGTAGCTGTTCAGAACCCTGACACCCTTACCAGAGGCTAAAGTGTGGCTTTCTTGTAGTGCTGATGTGAGGGTTGTACGTGAATCACCAACAGAACCAGAAATCGTCTGGCCAAATGTTCCAAAATTGTAGGAGAACAGATATTTTTCCTGAAACTTCAAGATTTTGCTTCTGGGACATATGGGCTCATATCAGGACTGACACTGCAAATGCCAAATTTTTGATAGATGATTTTCAGATATACCTGTTTGACAGTTTTAAGCTTTTCAGAAGACATGTTTCTGAAGAAGAGCACTGAACAAGTGGTGCAAGGTTACCTGGGGGAGACATTACCCGGTAAAGGACGATTTGCTGTTACTGGTCTTCCACTGCTCATGTATTTTTTACTCCTGAAGGTTGGTACTATGAATCATTCCACATGCCAGCATGCTAGCTGTATCATTCAATATAAATTCATTTGATGGTCTTTCAGGTAGACAAAGTAACATAACGATCCAATTACCAGATACTTGTGGTTAAATACTTCTGAACAAGCATAAACTTGTTTTTATTGCATTTATTGAGGCTTGTTGGTACATCTCTTAACATCTTTCACTTTAGTGTCTGTGTGCTTCTGCGAGATGCAAATGACACTCTTCACAACACACAGGGACATTTGAGATAGTCAGCAGTGTCTTTTTTTAATACGCTGGTGAACCTGTAGAGCTATGTGTAAACTGAGATTCAAAGAACAACAGTGTATTGTTACATGAAACATTCTCCCAGAGTGGTGCCAAGTCGGAACCTTCAGCTCAAGGAAGCTGCAAGTCAGCAGGTGCATCCTGACCCTTGGCACGCTGCCAAGCACACTGCAATTGAACCAAGCCCACTCAGCAGCACGGGTAGAGAGGAGCAGTAAAACAAGCTCTGAAAAACGCCACCAGGGACTCAAGAAAAGTGCACAGCCTATTTTCCTTTCCACTTCCTGGGAAGGGAGAGTTCAGCACTGGATGGTCCCAAAAGGACTGGAATGCACATCAGTGGTACAGAATGTAGAAAACAGAGTGAATTAATAGCTTAGAGAAAATAGCTGGACGTTAACTTCTGACTCTGTGTTGTACCTTATTAAATAAAAAAGGATGCATTTTGCAATACACTAACAAGTTGATACCTAGGCTGAAGTAAAACTAAATTAATTTTGATTTCTGTGCAAGTTTACAAGGCTTAGTGTGTCAACATGGTAAAGTGCAGCGATCGTTGCAACTGGTGACCGTATAATCTGTGCAAGAACCTCAAACCAGTCAGACTGAGGTGTTGTTCATGAAGTAACACGAAAAGTGTTTTATTTGCAGCCAGTTATCAGACTGTAGCTTTATGACTTGTAGCAAGGGCTGGGACTGAGCAACTCAAAGTGGAAGGAAAGCGATAGCACTGGTTTTCCGTGGTTCGTTTCTGGAAATGGCTTAACAGCAAGGCTGGCTTTCCTTCTTGAGCTTATTTTATAAAACCAGCACCTTCCTTTTTGTTTTACAGTTGTTTGGTGGGTTATTTTTTCCTACGTTTGTATATGTAATGAACATGGTGCAGATGGTCTCAGAAGACTCTAGAAGCTGTACAGTGATACTTTCTGAGGAAGGAGCTGTCAGCAGTCACATCCTGCTCCCCACATGAAACAACGCGGCATTTTCCTGTGAGTATGGAATTACAGAACACAAGCATCTTCTGAACAAGGCCTGATGAATGTAATTGGTGAAAGCCCTGCAGTAAGGAAGACTGCCTGCTTAACAAAATAGATCGTTCAGATTCAAGAGCTAGTAAATTCTTAAATTCCTAATACCCTTTTCATAATGCATTAATCACAGATGTGACCCTGATGTTATGAGGATATCTTCACATAGTTTCTTCACATAAAAGTTAAGCCTGTTTTGAAACAGAAATCCAGTTGCTTTTGTTGAGCTCTTCTAACAGTTAACTATGGGAAGTTGTCTTATCAGCTGAGGTTGTCGAGGGAATTTTCAGCATCAAGACCCTCTTGTAAATAGGATGGTATAGCATGTAGTTAAATCAGTCTTCAAATGGGACTAACCAATCTCTTGGTATGCCTCCTGGTTTTGAGAACATAACTGGAAAATTGCAGTGTCAGACCATTCTTATGTTAATCAGTAATTTCACTTTGGAGTATTTTATAGTAACGTGTCTACTAATTGTCAACTATTCTAAAGCAATCCAGTTCCATGCCTGTGGCACTTTGCACCGTATTTGGAGCAGCATGCGTGTCCTCTGCTGTGGTGGAGTCGTGCTCACTGCATCACACCTTCCTGGTTGGGCCAGCTTTGGTTTATGTGTAACCAAACACTGCAGGATTTTTGTCCTACCCTTGTGCCATCTGATGACATGCTACATGCTGTGTCTCTGTCTTCTAAAAAGAAAATATCAGGTAGGAAACCTGTTAGCTTTCTGAAAACCTAACAAATCTGGATTTGTTCTATGGACTGCTTAAACCAGAAAGACTCAACGATTAAACAGAAAAAAAAATATATAATAATAATAACAACGCTTTCCTATTTAATATCTTTCTCAGCTACTTAAGCTTTGTTTGGCTGACATGAGCTGTTTAGTTTATGAATGTTTATGGAATGCTGTATTAATTTTTCCCACTGAAACTTGTGGTTTCACAAACCTTCAGCACAGTAACTCTGCCTCTGTGTACCGAGCTCTAGTACTCCTTGAGTGCTCACAGAAACCATCAGAAACGTTTCTTATCAGCAGACCCATTCATTCTTTGGCAGGATCATCCCAACAGATGAGAAGGCCTTTAGTGCCACAATGGATAGCAGTGCTAATATTTGAACTGCAACCCTAAGGGATAATTTTCAGAAATGTTATATACAGGGCTTAGAGTGCTCCTTTTTTTTCACTGCACATTTTAACACAGAGATTAAAAATGCATGTAACCAAAGACATTTACTGTTCTATTTTACAGAGCCTGTGCTTTGTCCATTACTTTACACTGTTTTGAAATGGAGTTTGTATTTCCCCTGTGTTTGGTACAGCTACGGCTCAGACTTTTAGCAGCTCGTGTGTACTAACCTTGATTCATTATTATTAATACATTTTAAATGAGTCATCATGAGCCCTGAGATATTCATGTGACATTAATAGATAAGGTCTAGCTTTCTTTGTGATAATGTTTCCTGTTCTTTTTATAGCTGCTATGGATTTTGATTGTTTTAATTTCAGTGGACAACAAAAAGTCCAAGCAAACAGTTGTTTTACTTAAAATCATCCTGGTAGGCAAACAGTTCACAGTATTGTACAAAGCAGAGATGCAGGAGCAGATTAAATTGAGTTTGGCTCTTAGAGAGGAATTTGCCAAAATTGTTCCTAAAATAATAGAAAACATGAAGAAATCAGAGACCGTGGTGGAGGCATTTTGAATTGCAGTTAGATACCTTTAGATACCTCTAGAAACCTTTAGGCAAGTCCTTAGAGCCACACATCCCTTACCTTTGGAACAGAACACATTTTTTTTAAAGAACTGCTATACTTTCTTATTATGTATTGAATTCTCGTTGCATTATTTTAACATCCTATTTATTTTAACAATATTTTAATGATCCAAAAATACGTTACTGCTTTATTTATATCCCGAGTACAGCTGCTGTAACACACTGTTATTTCCACTCTCGCTGCCTAAGAAAATGAGTCACAGGGAAGTGCATTGTCTGCCCACATGCCTCTGACAGCTTTTGGACATGTCCAAACAGCTGAAAGGGGCACAGAATCACCCAAATCACACTCACAGAAACGTAGGGCTTGGAAGGGACCTCTGGAGATCATCATGTCCAACCCTCTGCTACAGCCATTCCTTGCAGTAGGTTGCATAGGGAAGCAGATCTTGAATTTCAACTCCAAGAAGCAGAGTCCACAACCTCTCTGGGAGCTGTTCCAGCGCTCCCTCACCTTCAAAGTAAAGTTTTTCCTTGTGTCTGTATGGAACCTCCTGTGTTCCATCTCGTACCCCCTGCCCTTAGTCCTACCTCGCTGTCTGAAGGCAGCGTTTCTGAAGGGCAGGCGGGCCGGGACGCCAGCACGAGAGCTCTCCCACAGTGCACCGCCTCGCGTCCGCAGGGCAGGCCGGGGAGGTGGCTGTGGTGGCAGCCGGGTGCGCGGGTCGCGGCAAACCCACTTCCCCACAGGACGGGCGGTGCTTTCTGCCATTTTGAGTTGTGGGATGGGGACAGAGGGACGTTTGGTTTCCGTGACGCTGCGGAACCAGAGGGCTCGCAGTGGTAAAGCGAGAATTACAAGCCAAGGAGTGTCCTTAACTCCTAATTAATTATGCATACAGCATTATTACAAACTAATAATGCAGACAACGCTGTTACCAGTTCGAAACGCCAGTTCCTTCCATGCGTCTTGCTCTGTGCTCCGGCCCCGTGGCGTTACCGAGCCCTCACGACAGCGGGGCTGAGCTCAGACGAGGCCCAGGGAGGGCTACCGGGCTTCCGCTCCGCCGAGTAGCGAAGGGACGGCTCTCTCCTCGCGGCGCGACCGCGACACCGCTACCCCAAGGGCAGCAGCCCGCCCCACCCTGCTGCGCCGAGGCGCCGGCAGCCAGGCAGCCCCTGAGGGCAGAGCGGGAGGCGAGGCCTGACAGCCTGACAGATCGAGACGTCCAATCAGAAGAGAGAACGATACGAGGGGCGGGGACTCTCTCAGCCATATAAAAAAGGCCGTGCCGGTGGGCGCCGGCAGTCAGGCGGCTGAGGAGTGGGGGTGTT